TATAAAATGAAAATGTACGCATACATGTTTAGTATTTGGTAGCATTAATTCTACTGCAGAAGTTGAAAATATATAATATTTATAGTATTTCTTCCAATTGTTAATTTTGTCTTTGCAAAGAAAAAAAATAATACAAATAATAAAAAAGAAAAGAAAAGAATGTTGCATGTGTTCAGAATGAGTAATTGTGTAGTTTAGTTTGCATTAAAAGCTCTTATTGGCCATGAAACTGTATTTTCCAATATTTTTAGTACAAAAATATATATTTTCTTATGACAAAGGAATTATTTAGCTGTTTTTTATGGAGCGAATTATGTGAGATATATTATTTGTGAGAAAATCAAGCCAAGTTTCCTCATAAAAAGGCAAATGAGTCTCACAGTTGTAACACACAATACATATATTTGTCCATACCTCTGCATTTTCTCTCAAATAGAGTTTTGTATTTGCAAATGCGTTTGTTTGAAGTCGAGTTTTTCTTTGCAAAGCAAACTGTTTATTTGCAAAACGCTGGATTTGTTTGATGAATATAGGCACAAAATTCGCTCCATAGTTTTTTCTTGTATATTAGTGACAATTGCCTACGTGAAACTAGCGCCAAAGTCAGTTTTTACATGCATTTGGTGCAGAATCTAAAAATGTATAATATTTATCCCAATTATTAATTTAGTTTTTGAAGAAAAGAAATGTGCATGTGTTCAGAATGTGTAATTATGTAGTTTGGTTTCAGTAAAAGCTCTTTTTATACTGTAGAGGATGTTTTATGAGTGAATTATACGGTGGCAGAAAAGTACATTGACAGACCATAATATCAAATATCGACCAGTTCCTCAATTCCTTAGTGTGTGGAAATCAAGCAACATATGTACAGTATATATATATATATATCACTTTGCGTTTGTTTGAAAGTCGAGTTTTTCTTTGCAAAGCAGATTGTGATTATTTGCAAAACGCTGGATTTGTTTGATGAATATAGGCACAAAATTCGCTCCATAGTTTTTTCTTGTATATTAGTGACAATTGCCTACGTGAAACTAGCGCCAAAGTCAGTTTTTACATGCATTTGGTGCAGAATCTAAAAATGTATAATATTTATCCCAATTATTAATTTAGTTTTTGAAGAAAAGAAATGTGCATGTGTTCAGAATGTGTAATTATGTAGTTTGGTTTCAGTAAAAGCTCTTTTTATACTGTAGAGGATGTTTTATGAGTGAATTATACGGTGGCAGAAAAGTGTAAAACAAATCACAATTCTGAAAACAAAATAACAAATTACAAAAAGCAAATGCAAATCTAAAAAACAAAATAACAATTCAGAAAACACAACAACAATTCAGGAAACATTATAACAAGTCAGAAAACACAACGACAAATCAGACAAACCGGAAGAGGTAGGTATAGTTTGAGACAGCGCCATTGGTTTGGGATTACTCACCGCTGACTGGACGAGACATCTGTCAATCAACGTATACAGGGAAGAACC